AAATCAGAAGCCTGAAATCAGATTTCAGGTTCCATATTCCGTCACTAGTGGCATACTCAGTTTGCTCCTCTGTAGGTCACTCTGCATAATTTCCCCTCAAAGGCAGAGGATTCTCTTGGTATAATCTMTAATACAAGGAAGCATGAAGGACATCAAGAAATGAAAAGCGAACATGTGAGTGTGGCAAAGAGAATGAGAAAATACGAGAAGATGGACAGAGAACTGGAGAGGTCAGCAGTAGCTAGAGAAGACAGAGTTTGTGAGTCAGCTTTGTGCTGCTCTGACAAAAATACCTGAGAAGGAAAACTAAAGGGAGGAAAAGTCAATTTGGTGCTCACAGTTTTAGAGGTCTTCATCCATAAGGGGCCTACTTCATTGTTCTGGGCCCAAAGTGAGGCAGCCCATCATGGAGGAAGGATGCTACAGAGGAAAGTTGCTCACCTCGTGGGAAGGTCAGGAAGCAGAGAGAGAGAGAGAGAGGGGGGGGGGGGAAGAGGCCCTAGGGAAGATGCAGCCTTCTAGGACATACCCCTACTTCCTCCAGCCATGTCTCATCTACCTCTCGTCCAGTTCATTCAAACTAGGATGGTTTTAATAGGTTAATGCTCCCACAGTGCAATAATCTTACCTCCCAACATTCCTGCATTAGGAACTTTTGTGGGACAGGAGCTTTGGGGGACATCTCCTATCCAAACCATAAGACAGGACCTTGAGGACAAGTACACCGAGGTAGGCTTTCTTCTAGAAGTGAAAGAAGTCATGGGAGGTTCTATGCCAGAGGAACAGTAGGAGCTCATCTGCCTTATGCTGGAATGATGGTCTAACAGACAGAGGAAAGATTTTTTTGAGGATCCATAGAACCAAATGAGTAGCCTAAATTTCAAAAAATTACTGCTGTGTTTTTGATTGGTTGATGAAGAAAGTAATACAAACAGGGGTCCGCCATCATCACTGTCATCTTCACCAGAGTCTGAGGCAACAGAGAACCCAGTAGGCCAACAGCTACTTTGTAAAGCTCCTCTGAGTATAGATGCCACTTCTAGCAGTAGCACCAGAGAATATGTTCAGAGAAAAGCCATGCAAATTAACTCTGGCAGTTACTTGGCTCTTGGATATGAGTCAGTAGTGTTTGTCACTGAACTACATCCCCAGTCATTTTTATTCTGAGACGGGGTCTTCCTCAGTTGTCCAGGCTGACCTCCAATCTGCCATCCACCTACCTCATTCTCCTGAGTTCCTGGGATTATAGGCATGCACCATCATGCCTGGCCATTTTGGCTCATTTCTCAGAATTCATTTTAAAAACAACAGCCTTTTTCAGTAGCTAGAGATGACGGACAATGTTGGTAAATGGTAAAATCATCTCTGGACCTATAGCAATCATGCCATGCTTAGTAGTACTGCCCATTGTTTTTATTTTATTTTTTTAATGTTGTTGTTGTTATTTTGTTTCCTTTTTGTGATGCTTGCATAGGAACACCTTTGTTTACATTAGGGAATGTGAAATACAGGCACAAAAGTGAAATGAATAAACAGGATTAAAGAGCCAGAATCACAGTTTAATGTGACAACTAATCATCGCAAAGAAGGATCTAAACCACATGAGTGTAGCTACAAAATGAGTAAACACATTGGATTTAAAATAACTTTGACAATAAGGAAAAATCCTGGCATATCAGCAGTGGATTTATATGCCTGGTGTGTTCCCTTTCTCACCTTCTAAACATATGTGCTTATTTAGGAAAATGAGGAGGAAGGATTGGGAAGATGAGCAATGCTACAGGATCATTCCTCTTTCAGCCTGTTGCTGTCTCTGACATTCCTCAATTAGGGAGGGACAATAGACTTCTCTACTGGGAAGAATTTTAATGGTGTACATTATCATTTGTAAGAGTTTTTATTTTGTGATAGTGTCACAATTGCTTACTGTTTAACTCCATCACAAACTATAATGTATATGATATCTATAGTAGAAAAATTCAAATGAACATTCTATTTAACACAGAGAAAAAATCCACCTTTCCTAGATTACTATAGAGAAGATTAAAATATTGTGTATATTTTTATAATATTAAGGTAGGTATGTGTTTCTAGATGTGAAGTCATAAAATGAAAGTACACTGACTTGACAATGCAAGTCTGTCTTTCTTTCTTTTTTCTTTTTTTCTTTTTAATTTTTTTGTGTGTGGTACTGGAGATATAGGCCAGGGTCTCACACATACTAAGAAACTCTCTACCACTAAGCTAAATCCCCAGCCCTTAACATTATGATATAAAAGAGTAATAAGCAAAAATCAGAAAATCTTTAAATGAACAACTAACAGAAAAAAAAAGATTCTGAAGTTATAGTAGAAAGTTTTAATTAATTTTGATCTCCTGGTTTTTTGACAATATCTTTTGGTATTTCCCTTGGACCTTATTATATGATTATGCCACTTCTTAACAGCCTTGCTACTAAATGACAGTAAGCATAGTTAACTAAACAGGAATGTGAAGGAGGAATGAATTCTGCTCAGTCTCCAGCTTCATGGATGTGTGCTTTGTAGAGGAGGATAGAGCTTCTCTTTAGAAGGTTCTTATGCTTGAGTTAATGCAGGKCTGTCATTATGACATTTTTAATTATTTGAGGGAAAGGAGCCTTGTGCTGTTATTTTGCAATGGAAATTATGTATTGGTCCCGTAGTTGGTGTCCTATAAACTATCTATAAAGCAATAAGTTTTATGCCAAAGAAAATGATCAAGAGATATAAGAATAATGCTAGTCCTGAAAAGTTTAGACTCTAGAAATAGAAGTAAGCTCAGTAGTCAAATTATAGTCAAACAAAGCAGACAATGAACCTCTGGCAGAAATGAAGAACCAGATAAGGGAGAGGTTAATGCTACATAGAATGAGGCCCAAGTCTGTGGAAGAAGTTTTTGGTTGAAGCAAAGACAGGATTGAACATTGACAATTTGGAAGAAAACACAGGGACACAGGGAACACGTGGGTATGTGGAATCATTTGCTTTGGGAGGAGCAAGAAGAAACCAGGCTGGAAAAGCTGGCTGGTCTTAGCCATAAAAGGGCCAGGAATGTCCAGGGGGTGCCATAAATAATTCAACAGGAACTGTGAGCCGCTGAACGGTTGTAGAAAAGAACCAGTTAGTCACAGCCACCATTTAGATTAAAGCAGGCAGTGATGGTCCTTCTGGTACCTCTGGACCCCCAGCCCAGTCTGAGGTTCACAAACAAAGTAAACTAGATATTTTACAGAGTGRCCAGATGGAAAGTGATATCAAAGTCAGAACTCAACTCTTTTTTATTCAACCAGGTAAACTCTACTTGCTCATAGCTGGCCAACAAAATATGTGCACTCACTCTGGAGAGCCAACTTGTATTAAAGTTTGAATAGTCAGAACAGATCACACAAACTAAGACAGCTCTGACAATAACATCCCCTCCCCCACAAAAGAAAATATTTCCAGAGTAAATTAACACACACACACACACATACAACACAAGAAGACATCCCTATCTCCTAAAATGGTACCACCCACTAATAAAGGAGTTCTTGTTAGAATGGTTCAATCTCTTTCAGAAAAAAAAAATGTATAGAAGCTAAAATCAACATCAAGCCATTTCATCAACTACAATTGGGATCTCTAACAGGACTGCATCAGAAAAAAAATCTATAACTCTTGCACTTCAAGTTAAAGCTTAAAATGAAATATTCATTCTGTTTCTGTGTTTCTCACCAAATCCACACTTATGCATGCATGCATACACACACACACACACACACACACACACACACACAGAGCAACTGAACAATTTAATTTCCTTCTAAACTTCAAAAGAAATTTATATTTCCACCTTTCCTAAATGTTTCAAACAATCACAGTGAGGAAAGGGAAAAAAAAGTCACCCTGCAGACACAGTAATATTTTAATACATTACTTGATTTAAATTAAAAAGCAACTCTCCCTTCAGTAGAGATATAGCAAAAAGAATTCATGTGGATACAAAAAAAAAAAAAAACAATGCATAAAGGGTGAAACAGAAGCAAATTAATTAACCACAAATATACCCAAGTAAGGAATATTAAATTCAAAAGATACTTGTTAAAATGTATCGCTGAAACAAAATATGACTCTGACTTGGTAGTAGTTCTGTTTTAACTATTTCTTCACAAAAAGAAAGTTTACAGCAAACAATAAACATTCTCAAAAATGAAATCTTAGGGGTACACTTCCCTTTAGTTCACAGTTCACATAATCTGTGCCTCACTATTTAATTATGCTTCTGTTTTTAAATGAAAAAAATACAAAAATAATTACATTTAAGGCATCATAATTTTCAATATTCTTTTCAATCATAAAAAAATGATTTTCTTTAAAACAAATTTGGACTTGAATAAACTCACTTCAGTGAATATCAGTGTATTCCTAAGAAATGAAAATCTGGCTTCTTAATTACTATTACCACCCTATATTAAGTTGTCATAATATATAATCAAAGAAAAGAAAAGGTTTGATATTTGAGAACTGTAACATAAAATGAATCTAATTTGAGAAATTAAACTCAGGAACAAAAGTTAAATAGATGCTTCTTGGAATTTTTCCATTTTAGTCATCTGACCTTTCATATGGAAATTCACATAAGAGATGTCTTGGCCTTCCAATGTGGTCTGTTTAGAAGAAGTGACATAATGCATTAACTTATCAATAGTTAAAATGAACTCAGTATCATCTTCTGTTCCTGCAAATTTTCTCTCCTTTCTCTGAGCTACACATCTCTAAGAGAATGCTGAATGAGTGAGTACATAGGATGATCCTCAGAAGTTCCAACCTAACCACATATTCTGAAAACTGGCACTGGAAATATAATGAAGCCCATCCAAGGTCTTCTCTTCTACAAATTGGCAGGTTATTAAGAATGAAATAATGAGAAARGTCTCCATGTTGCTGGATTTCAAAAACTACAAAAAAATGTTCTTCGAAAGAGAAAAGAAAGTCTCCTACCTTTTTAAAAATTCCATGTACTCGGTATGCTTGATGAGGCCTGTCCTCATCATTATTGTTTGAAAACATTGTCGATCAATGGCCCAAAGTTTCACATTTACAAGAGCTAGAGAAAGGAGAAAAAGAAAACAAACAGGGAAAAATTAATTAGAGAATTTCAACTGTGAACAATATCCTGCAAAACAGATGAGTTATTCATGAGCGGTATGAAAATGATTAACCTTTCACATTCACTTGAAGCTAATATCATAACACTGCTCTATTCCATTAGAGTCAGGTATGCCTACAAGCACAATGTACTTCATAATTTTCCATACTAGCGTTATTGTCCACTAGGAAGTTTCCTTTTGCTTATGGTAGGAGAGTAGTTAAGCACACCCTGAAAGTACTTACTGATTCAAAGACTTTCTATGAAGAAAAAAGCATGCAGATAAAAAGAGGTTCACAAGTAATCATACTCCCTGATAATTCCTCCAAATKATATTAATGACTCATATGACCATATTTTAATTACAAAAATTAGAAGTAAAAATTCAATTTATAGGTTTAAAGGGGAATTCAATATAATAGAAATAATAATTGCATGATAACTTCTATAGAAAGCTTGTTAAACAAATTGTAGCCTGTGCCCAAAGTGGCCACATAGAAGTTTTTATTAGATATTTTTGTTGAATTTTAATTTCTACTCCTACACACTGTCATCTTTGACAACGCATAATTAAATGTTGAAGCTGCAATGTATGTATGGAAAGATCACAATGAAACCCACTAATTTGTACTATTAATATGTGTTTATAATTCAAATAATAATAAATAAGAAGCCATTCTGCCAAGAAATAATTGTGGAAGCCAGATATCCCAGAACTGCTAAACAGATAAGCATAAGAAAAAAAAAATGACGCATGCTGTAATATATATGGAACAATACACCAAGATAACCTTAGGTTTTAAAAATCTTGATAATTGAATCTGAAAATCTTGATAATTGAATCTGCATGATATATGACAGGCTTATTTTATCATCCTCTCCAATTGTATATATGTTTTCAAATTTTCATAATAGAAAATAAGTCAAGTTAGCTTTGAAATTAAGAAAACTAATTTATATACCTCATACCCAGAGGGTATGGAGTAGAGAAAAGGTATGGGAGGGTTTGAGCAAGACTGCTTAGGGGGCCAGGATATGGTTTAATGAGAAACACAGAAAGATAGAGAAATACAATTCTCTCTTTGCCATCATTCTCAGACCAAGCGTAGTGCATGAGTGAATCGAGACTGGGGATTAAGGGGGAGAGAAAATGTTTGCAGAGAATGAGGTCCCACATATGCCTCAAGGGGAAAAGACAGTGGAAATAAAGGAACGGGGGACAAGGAGGTAAAGGAAATATTATTCTACAGAGTAAACCCTATTCTTGAATTTTACCTCATTTTTCCTTGCAAAACTGAAGATAAGAAATTAAACTATGACTTCTCCTTTGTCTAGCTCCTGGGAGGTGAAAAAAAAAAAAAAAAAAAACATGCTCAGTTAAGTAAAAAAAGAGCAAAAGCAAAAAGAACTGATGTGCTGGTGGCTCCTCCTTTCCAAACAGCCTTAAAAATGACACATAATCTAAAACAAAGCTATCACGGGTTTTCTCCAATCATACTCTATTTCTTCTGATGACTCTCTTCCAAAACACCCGAGTACTTGAGACATACCGTGAGACCAGCTGACACAAACATGAAAAACATGCAAAATGTTTCTCAAGCAGAGCAGGAAGGGAGACCTTGAAACGTGATGGAGGCCAACCCTGAAGAGAAGTGGTTGAAGAGGAAAGTACATCAACAGGAGCACAGCTGGGAATGAGCCCCGGAGACCCTTCCCATGGAACACTCTGACTTCTGTAGGGTTGCTACTGTCTGAGAGTCAGTTGATGCAGGGCCCTAGAACCTAGGCTCACGGAGCCAGGATTAATTTGAGGAACAACTGCAAGTTAGTAGAGATCTTTAAAAAAGAAAATAGGAGCTGGGGATGTGGCTCAAGCGGTAGCGCGCTCGCCTGAGCACCACATACCAACAAAGATGTTGTGTCCCCCGAGAACTAAAAAATAATTGTTAAAAAAAATTCTTTCTCTCTCTCTCCTCTCTCACTCTCTTTAAAAAAAAAAAAAATTTAAAAAAAATTAAATAAAATAAAAATAAAAAAGAAAATAAAGGAGGCCGCGCTGCCCGGGCCTGCGGCGCTGGGCTGCGCGCGCTGCGGCTGGCGGCTCGCCTTCCTGCTGCAGGTGGACGTGCCCAMGCTGCCAGGCGGCGCCAAGGCCTTCCACCTCTGCCTCTTCCTCTTCCKCTGCCGCTAGCCGCCTTATTGCGCCGGCCTAGAGTTTTTAGGAATCAGCTACCCAGGAAAAATGAGTTTTACTCCTATGAGCCACCATCTGAGAACCCTTCCCCAGAATCAGAACCTGTGTGTCTCCAACTTAAGTCGGGAGCTCATCTCTGCAGGGTTTGTGGGTGTTTAGGCCCTAAAACGTGTTCCAGATGCCACCGGGCACACTATTGCAGTAAGGAGCATCAGACGCTGGCCTGGAGGTTGGGGCACAAGCAGGCTTGTACCCAAGATCATTTGGACCATACAGTTCCAGACCACAACTTCCTTTTTCCTGAATTGGAAATTGTTGTAGAAACAGAGGAGGAGATTGTGCCTGAAGTTGTGGAAAAGGAAGAAGACTTTGAGATCACAGGAAGCATGGAGGAAGAACTGGATTCCATGGCAAAGCATGAATCCAGGGAAGATGACATTTTCCAGAAGTTCAAAGCTCAGATAGCCCTTGAACCAGAGCAGATTCTCAGATACTGCAGGGGTACTGAGCCCATCTGGATTTCTGGTGAAAACATCCCTCAAGAGGAGGATATTCCCAACTGTCCCTGTGGTGCCAAGAGAATATTTGAATTCCAGGTCATGCCACAGCTCCTGAACCACCTCAAGGCAGACAGACTGGGCAAGAGTGTCACTGGGGCATCCTGGCTGTCTTCACCTGCGCCGATAACTGTAGCTTGGGCACTGGCTACACAGAGGAATTTGTATGGAAGCAGGATGTAACAGATACACCTTAAAGACATCTTCAAGCCCTAAAAAAGGTTACTAACATCTTACGGCCTTGCAATTCCATCTCTGATTTTATCCCTAAGAAAGTAACTGTACCAGAGATGGAGGAACAAAGATGTGGCTTGGGGCCTTGTTTAGTGTAAAATATTTCTAAAACAATGTCCAATAATGGAATTACGTGAATTTGGGTACATCCAAGTGAAAGGTTATTAATTATACACACTTAACAAGGATACCAAATGAGCGGGAGGTGTAAATTAACACAAAGAGACCATTATATCATRGTATGTGTTTTTGTAAAAATATTTATACATGTATATGTACAAAAATATAAATTTGAATATAAATATAAAGCTGCACACCAACTATGAACTGGTTTACCTATGTACAGTGGGACTAAGTGAAATAGTCTTTTTACTGTGTACTATTCTTGTATAATAAAATGGGTTTTGTGCCTTTTTAAGTCAAAAAAAGAAGAAAATAAAGCAAAGTAGAAAACCAAAATTTAAAAGAATATACTCTGAGTACATCAATACTTTACATGTTTATAAATAAATAGAAATTTCCCTATATTCATCATCATCCCTAATGATTTCTAGGTATTTTGTAATATAGTTAGGTCTCCCACTAAGCACAAATAAGGATGCACTCACCAATTTTGTTATTTAAAAAAAAACAGTGGCAATAAAAATAATTGAAAATATTATGTGGTGAGTTGTAAAAATATATAATAGTTGCAACTATTTATATATAATAAATAACATGTTATGCATTATATAATCATATCATATATCATTTTTATATACTATGTATTTACATACATAATATATGTTTAGATATTATATATTCATATATGTCTTATTTCTTATAGACATTTTTAAATGCACCTTAAAGAAATGAGTAGAAGTGGAATGTCTATGTGAAATACAGCATGCATACATTTTTAAGGCTTTGTCCTGCAGAGAAACTTAACACATTCACACTCCTAGCAGTAATACATGAAATTGTTATTATAGACTCTAAGAGATATGACCATGGTGATAGCTGAGAAAAAACCAATATAGGAAAGGCATACATTGGATTAAAAGACACCAGAGTCAAACAGACTACAGACCAACAGTGGTGCCATCAAATAAAAAGTTACATAGAAACTGTAGGGCAGAGTAGTAATATATTGAAAGTTCTATCTAAAGAAAATTGTTCTGTTAAATATCTTGTGTGCAGTTTTCCAACAAGGAGCAATAAGCCAATGTCACGGTCAAGTCAAGAAAGGAGGTTTGTGATGAATATGGCAGCAATAAGAATAAGAGCAAAGGTTTGGCTGGTGTGTGTGTGTGTGTGTGTGTGTGTGTGTGTGTATGTGTGTGTGTGTGTGTGTTCTTAGCAAATGTTACCAATATTGTTATTTATCTCTAATATCTATTTCTTCAGATACATTTGCATATTCTCTCAGAGAAAAGCTTCTTTCCTGTTTCTTACAATCTCTTCTACTACTAGAAATTAGCTTTTCCTTTGAGAAGCATTACATATATTTCTTTATTAATGGTTTACATGCATAAATTTCACCTGCAAAAAAATTCACAAATGAATGTAATCTTAGGTGACCTCTAACGTTATGTTAAAATCTCTAAATTGAATTGATCAGATTTTATTATCCATATGTTTAAAAATGACTTATATAAATGAGTTCACACAATCCAATCACTGCAATTTCTCTTTGGTTCTTGTTTACTTGGGCTGCTGATGTGTCTCTACATAAAGCTTCATTTCAGATAACGGTGCTGCATGATAATGAACATAGGTTGATGAGATCACATTCTTATCCATGACCTTGAGTAGGATGCCAAAACAGTTTTTTATATTCAGTTAATATACATATTAGTCAAGTCAGCATCTTACAGGTGGGCAAGCATGACTAATAATCATCTTGCCTTGTTATAAAAAAATGTGGTTATACTGGAGCTGTGATTAATGTCTTGGTTCTCAAAAGCCTGCTGGAATGTAAATCTGTTTGCTTC